GTTGCCAAGCATCCGAATTTTGATTATGTGATCCTGGGGAGGCTTGTAAGTGTGAAAAATGGTCATAAGTCCTCTTTTTCAGTGCTGTTCTAACTTTGAACGGTCACTAAAGGAACTGTTGTAAGTCGAGGACCATCTGTACGGAGGCCTGCCATTGTCCACCAGCGCCCTGCTCTTCGACATGGCCGACATTGTCCTTGGAAGCGGCTGTAATTGTCTTCCCTTTCTGTCTCTGTTGGGTGGGCAGGTCACCAAAGCACCATCTCGAGATGCTCCGATAATGTGGCAGAAAGCAACCAAAACAAAGCTGAGAAACTTCCGGAGAGCTTCGTTCGTGACTCATCGTCCACCTCGGACAACTCTTCCATTCGTCCTGGTGATGGAGAGGAAACATCGATGCCCCCCAGGAAACGATCACGTTTGTCCCAGGGACTTAGCGACTCCGACAGAAGCTCTGGCCAAGAGGTCGAACCTTTGTTGGTAAGGCTTCCTGAGCAGAACGTAGATGATGGAACGGTCTTGCAGGAGGTTCACGTTGTCGAGGTATTTCCTCTTCCTAATGTCCACTCTGGGCTCTTAGAACTAAATCTGGGGATGACGTATCTCAAGGAACCATGGAGGAGCTGCCAAATGACCACCTTCAGAAGATCTTTGCCCTTGTGGCTGTAGCTGATCTTCTCCAAAACCTCTCTCGGCTGCGTTAGCAGTGGAAGCTTATCATCTCTGACATGAAGATAAGTGATGCCTTTATCTCGTCTTCCAATATTTGAGGGGCTGCCTCAGAGAAGAGGGGGTCAACTTATTCCCCAAAGCAAAAGTGCCCACAGAATGACACAACAGGTTCATTAAAGCATCAATCACACCATCGTGACCACCAAACTGACTTTCTCACCAGTGTGGACATTACTAGTTTTATGTCTGATAGTCTGAGGGGTCCTTACTCTTGTTTTACACCGACTGGAGTCTATATGCTTGGCTGTCTTCCTCTGAGTAAAAGGACCTATCTGATGTGATCCACTGTGGCTAACAAAGAGTCTAACAAAGAGAAGGACGAGGGGGGACAGGATAGCAGTCTTCCAATATCTCAGGGGCTGCCCCAAAGAAGAGGGAGTCAAGCTCTTCTCCAAAGCACCTAAAGGCAGGACAAGAAGCAACGGATGGAAACTCGTCAAGGAGAGAAGCAACCTGGAACTAAGGAGAAATTTCCTGGCAGTGAGAACAATTAACCAGTGGAACGAGGTTGACCCCCTCTTCTCTGAGGCAGCCCCTCAAATATTGGAAGATGAGATAAAAGCATCGCTTACCTTCATGTCAGAGATCATAAACTTCCACTGCTAATGCAGCCGAGAGAGGTTTTGGAGAAGATCAACTACAGGCACCAGGGCAAAGATCTCCTGAAGGTGGTCATTTGGCAGCTCCTCCATTGTTGATCTAACAGCTATCTGCTAACACTTTGGAAATGATTAACGAAACAATGCTGCAAACACTGAATTATGGGGAGATAGGTCATGTTCAGAATTGCACCGCACTTCTTCTGTTCTTGAAGACAAATCTCCTGTTTTCTAAGGTGTTCGTCTTGCTTTTTATGAATCGAAACAATCCCAGAGAAAATTTAATTTCTAATTTAGTGGATCCAAGAACAAGGAATGCTTCTAAAAGTTCAGGTCCCTCAAGCGAAGATTGTGCCCGATCAAAAGTGAAGCTGATTCCATTCGGAGCATATACAAATATTAAGAGCGGGATTGAAGAAGAAAAAAAATATTAAAAAAATAAAATAATATCCAATGTTTTGCTCAGGAATTTCAGTTCAGTTCTTGGACGGAGGTGTACAATCAGTATTTGGAGGGAGACAGGCAAGCCTTGTTGGCTGTCGCAGACGTTCTGCAGCGGTACGGCCTAACCCGGAATTACCCCAGATGCATGCCTGGATTAATTCGGTGAGTGGTTTTCAGTATCACAACCACAAATCCTCTCTTTTGCTTTAGTTAATCAGGTATCCTGATACAGGTAGTCCTCGACTGACCGTCGCAATTGAGCCACAAATTTCCGTTGCTGTGCAAGACAGCCGTGAAGTAAGTTTTGCCCCATTTTATGACCTTCCTTGCCACGGTTCTTAAGTGAGTCAATGCAATTAAGTTAGCAACTCCGTTGTGAAGTGAAACTGGCTTCCCCATGGAGTTCGCTTGTCAGAAGTTCGCAAGAAGGATCACGTGACCCCGGGGCGCAGCAACCGTCATAAATGTGAGTCAATTGCGAAGCATCTGAATTTTGATCACGTGACCCTGGTGCTGCTGCAACGGTCGTAAGTGTGAAAAATGGTTCTAAGTCAATTTTTCCAGTGGCGTCGTAACTTCGAAGGGTCACCAAACAAATCATTGTAAGTCGAGGACTCGTCATCCTCGTCAGCCATTCAGTCGCGTGTGACTCTCGGCCCCTCTGTGGACTGAGGCCCTCCGTGCCCCTCTCTCTTGCACCCCTGGATCTGCCAAGGGTCTGAATACACCTGCACAGATAGTCCCCGACTTACAGCAGTTCATTTAGTGACCGTTCAGAGTTACAGCGGCACAGAAAAAAGGAACTTATGACCATTTTTCACACTTTTGACCGTTGGAGCACCCCTGTGGTCATTTGATCCAGATTTGGACTCTTGGCAACGGACTCATATTTATGACGGCCGCAGCACCCGGGATCACGGGATCCCCTTTTGCGACCTTCTGACAAGCAAAGTCAACGAGGAAGCTAGATTCGCTTAACGACCGTGTTGCTAATTTAGCAACCGCGGTGATTCCCTTAACAAATGTGACAATGTCATCAAATGGGGCAAAACTCTTTTAACACATTTTTCACTTAGCAAGATAAATTGTGGGCTCAGTTGTGGCCATACGCTGAGGACCCTGTGCGCCTTATCGACGGTGTGCTGGCTTAGGTAAGCAAGTGAAGATAAGAAATCTGCATATACGGGCTTCAAACTGCGTTGAGTGTTCTCCCAGTCTTATGAAAGGACCCACCTTTGCTCAGCGGAATGAGGGCGTATCTTTAACGGAGGTCACACGGACTCCGTCGCTCTTCCCAAGAAGCCACACGACCTCGAGGACTTCCTATAACCCAGCCATCCCCAAGCTTTCCAGCTGGGAGGCCCGACCTGGTGCTGTGGGGGGAGACCTGTGAGTGGCAGGCGCACGCTTCACACATGCACGCTTTCCCACGTTTCAATAGTAGTGGGCCGTGGCCTGGAGGTTGAGGACCCCTGCTGCAACCAATCCACTCCTATTAGGTTATCTGAGCAGGGGGTTGGAGTAGATGACCTCCAAGATCCCTTCCAACTTTATTATTATTGTTATTACTACTACTACTACTGCTATTATTATCTAGGAATTGCCAACTTGCTAAAATGACAAAAAGAAGTTGAACTGGGGAAGAAATCCATGTCTGTAGAGAAGGCCGTCACCTGTCCATGTTTTTCTTCCCAATCCAGGTGTGGGGCTGCTGTTCGGAGCTGCCGCTGCCGAAATCCTACCGATATCCTCCCGTGTCTGGAATGCCACTCGCTCTTTCCCAAGGCGCAAATCTGCATCGCCAAGAATCTTCCGGATTTGGAGAGTTGCAAAGAGAAAGTATGTCTCAGCAGGCTTAAATCTGATCTGGAATTGATTTTTTGGCGTGTTTCGATGGTGTTTCCCCTGGGAGGTGGGTTGTCTTGCTCAGAATTTGGATTGCATGGTCACTCCAAAGGCAGTGGATTCCAGGACAGAGAGTTCTAGCAAGCATTCGTTTAGCGATTTATATGAATGCCAGGCTTCCAAACACCAAGGACCTCATAGTCCTCCTCCTCCTCCTCCTCCTCCTCCTCCTCCTCCTCCTCCCCCTCCTCCTCCTCCTCCGCAAACCCATTCCCTTTTAGCGCTGATGATGTTCCCTAGTTGGGTGATGAAACGTCTGCAAGAAGACCACCAAGCTCAGAGAGCACCAAGGACTCCACATTCGTTGAATAGTTGCAAGTTCAGGACTATTTGTACCATTTAACTTGCTCCCCTGCCAGACAGGACAGAAAATACAACCTGTGAGGCTCAAAAGGTTGCCCCCACCCCGATAATGATCCCACCCATGCTCTTCCAGGAGGCCTACGTTCGGGCAGTGATGGCGGCCATTGTGCTCTTCGCTGGAGGAGGTGGCGATATTCAGGAGCTGGTGGGCTGCCTCCAAAGGCCCCCCTCTGCCATGTCACTGATGGACATCAATGAAATGTTGTACTGCACGGCCACCCTCCTTTACGCCATGCGAGGGAATGGGATCGAGATCAGCAACAGGTCAGTTTGCAAAGGGTCAGGAGAGACACTTAGGACGGAAACCTGTCCTTTGCGGCAGTAGTAAATAGGAATACATCTTTGGCAGGCTTTGTGTGCATTTAAAAATGGTTCAGAAAAAGCACTTTGGATCTAGCATGAGAGCCGATTTGGTCTAGTGGTTAAGGCGCCAAGCTAGAAAGCAGGAGACGGTGAGTTCTAGTCCTGCCATAGGCATGAAAGCCAACTGGGTGACTCTGGGCCAATCAGCCGGAGACGGTGAGTTCTAGTCCTGCCATAGGCATGAAAGCTGTGTGGGGTGGCTTTAGGCTTGTCTGTCTGTCTCTCAGCCCAACCCACCTCAGAGGGTTGTTTTTTTGGGGGGAAAAGTAGGAGGAGGAAGCTGTATTGGATATATTCGTCCCCTTGAGTTATGTGCAAAAACAATTAAGGTGGGTTATCAATAAATAACCCAAAATAGAACACCTCTCCTACTCATTAAAGCAGCTGGAAGTTTGACCAGGCTTTCTCACGCATCTGCAAACAGATGCTGCTGATTTCAAGGGTTGGTTCCTTAAAGCAGAAATCCGCGGAGGTGTGTTTATTCTCCTCTCTGAATTATTTTTCCTGGATTTTATACAGTTTAGGGTTTATTTTGAGATTCATTATAACTTTTCCCATTTTCCCTTTCCTTCTAGGTTTTATTACAATGTTTATTATTATTTGCATACCTTGGAGAATTCGCCCTGCAGGGACATCAACCCTGAATTACAGGATTGTAGGTACGTACGTTAACTTTGTGTCTCAATACAGAGAGTCCTCGACTTACAGCAGTTCGCTTGGTGACCCTTCAAAGTTACAACGGCACTGGGGAAAAAAGTGACCTATGGCCGTTTTTCACACGACCGTTGCAGCCTCCCCATGGTCACGTGATCGAAATTCAGACTCTTGGCAACTGACTCATATTTATGATGGTCGCAGCATCCCAGGCTCATGTGATCCCTTTTTACAACCTTCTGACAAGCAAAGTCAATGGAGAAGCCGGATTCTTTTAACGACCGTGTTACTAACTTAACAACTGAAGCGATTCACTTAACAATCGTGGCAGGAAAGGCCATAAGATGGGGAAAAAGACACCTAACAAATGTTAACAACAGAAATGTTGGGCTCAATTGTAGTAAGTTGAGGACTACCTGTATCAATAATGGGGACTTTACGTAATGTTTGCAAACATGTACAGGTAGTCCTCGACGTAACGACCACAACTGAGCCCAAAGTTTCCATTGCTAAGCAAGACAGTTGGTAAGTCATTTTGGCCCCATTTTGCAACCTTTCTCGCCACCGCTGTCACGTGAACCACTGCAGTGGTTAAGCGAGTCACACGGTCGTTAAGTGAATCTGGCTTCCCCATTGACTTTGCTTGTCAGAAGGTCGTAAAAAGGGATCACATGAGCCCGGGATGCTGTGACCCTCATAAATTATGAGTCAATTGCCAAGCGTCTGAATTTCGATCATGTGGCCATAGGGATGCTACAAAGGTCGTAAGTTTGAAACACGGTCATAAGTCACTTTTTTTTCAGTGCCGTTGTAACTTTGAACAGTCACTAAATGAACTGTTGTAAGTCGAGGACTACCTGTACAAGTTTTCCCAGGAGAACCGGGGAATAATTTAGCCCAATGTTTCCCAACCTTGAGAACTTTAAGCTGCGTGGATGTCACTCCCAGAATTCCCCAGCCCCAGCAGATGCTGCCTGGGGAATTCTGGGAGTTGAAGTCCACCCATCTTAAAAGATGCAACTGTTAGACAGTGTTTGCTATGTTGCAAAAACCACCTGGTTACCTATGTTAGCTTTTTACATTTTTCTGCTTCTGTTCATCAACAGGACTGACTTACAACCTACCAGTGAACAACAACAGATCTTGAACCACGCCTTTAAAACACCTGGAGAGAGGGTAAAAATTGTGGCTTTTGCAGGTAAGGCAGCCCCAGCCCAGGAGATACTTGATTCCCTCTGTAGGTGCAAACTCACTGATCATTGTATATCTTGAGAACTGAGATCACCTTGCCCGGATCTTCATTTCACCAGCTTTCCCGAATTCCTCCAAAGATCTCTTGCTATTTACAACAATATTCTCCTTGCTGGTGATGTAGGCTGCTACGGTTCTTCTCCACCCTTAATAGGGAGATTGTAGTGTTACCGATAGAGGAGAATATTTGTAGCTCATGGTTGGGCTGGGGGGGGGGGTCCTTGTTGCTCTCTGAGCTGGGCGGTTTTCTTGCAGACGTTTCATGACCCAACTAGGGAACATTATCAGTGCATAGAAGCCTTTTAGTACAAGCCTTCTAGCACTGATGATGTGATCTAGTTGGGTCATGAAATGTCTGCAAGAAAACAACCAAGCTCAGAGAGCACCCAGGACCCCACAGTTGTCCTCCTCCTCCTCCTCCACAAACCGCACTCCCTTCAAGCACTGATGATGTTACCTAGTTGGGTCATGAAATGAATGTAAGAAAATGACTAAACTCGGGAGATATCAAGAACCCAGCAGTTCAACTGTGAGCTACAAATATTCTCCTCCATCCATACATTTGTGCTCTTTCTGTCTCTGTCTCTCTCTCACACACACACACACATACACAAACACTCATATACACTTACCCACATCCTTCTCCACTAGGCTGGCAGAATGGGTGGGCTTTCTTTGTAGACTGACAAGACTGGCAGCTACTACAGATAGTCCCAGACTTACAGCAGTTCACTTAGTGACCGTTCAGAGTTACAGTGGCGTGGAAAAAAGGGACTTACGACCCCTTTTCACACTTACAACCTTTGCAGCATCCCCACGGTCACGTGATCAAAATTCAGACGCTTGGGAACTGACTCCTATTTATGACCTGCAGCGTCCCCAGGGTCACGGGATCCCCTGTTGCGATCTCCTGACCAGCAAACTCAGCGTGGAAACCAGATTCACTTAACAATCATGTTATTAAATTAACAACCGCAGTGATTCACTTAACCACTGTGGCAAGAAAGGTTGTAAAATGGGGCAAAAATTACCTAAGAAATGTTTCACTTAGCAACAAAAATTTGGGGCACAATTGTGGTCGTAAGTCGAGGACTGCCTGTATTGCCTTGTTGATTTTCAAGTCTGATAGCTGTTGATGGGATTTGCACAGGGGTCCTCTCCCTGTGCTGAGAACCCAATTTTGTTTTTTTTTCTCTGGTTCAAGTGACTTCCCCCCCCCCCCTTTGTTTCCTTAATGACTTGGTTCCTTCTCATTGGAAGGGATCTATTAGATCTATTAGTCCTGGATTTTATCCACCTTCCTTAATTTCATCTGTAGACATGGAAGCTTCAATCTAACGTCACACCTTCAACCTGCAAAGTCCTGGGTTTTTTTTTTTCTGCCATCCTGGCTGTCTGGAAGGAACCTGGCTAGGAAGTAACAACCTGGAAGGACTGAAATGTTTTTAATTTTTCACACAGGCACTGGGAAAACGTACACACTGATCCAGTACACCAAGAAATGGTCCGAGCTTAAGTTCTTGTACTTGACGTTCAACAGATCCGTCCGAGAACAGGCGGAACAGCTTTTCCCTACGAACGTCACCTGTAAAACCTTCCACTCCTTAGCTTACAAAGCAGTCAAAAAACTGTAAGGAGCTGCCTCCTATTTAATGAATCTTAAAAAACAGTGATGTGGTGAAGTATAACATAATGAAAAAGAAAAGGTAACCCCACAAAAATAAAACCAAAGAGCTGGTAAGATCCCAGCAAACAGCAACAAAACAATTTATTTATTATTTTGAAATGGTTTCTTAAGACATTTATGAAATAAAATAGGTCTCTCTGTTGCTGGAAAGATTGTGAACAGAATAATAGAATTAGAAGGGACCTTGGAGGTCTTCTAGTCCAATCCCCTGCTGAGGCAGGAGACCCTATAACATTTCAGACAAATAGTTGCCAAATCTCTTCTTAAACACCCGCCAGTGTTGGAGCATCCACGACTTCTGGAGGCAAGCCGTCCCCCCGATTAATTGTTCTCTCTGTCAGGAGAATTCATGAAAGAGCGATTCACTTCAATTCGAGGTGGGTAACAGATGTTCTTTTCCCACCAAATCGTGATTTAAGGCATACTGCCCACATCTCAGAAATTAATAGGGACTCGGGTCCTTGCTGCTCTCTGAGCTTGGCTGTTTGGTTGCAGACATTTCATGACCCAAGTACGTAACATCATCAGTGCTATCTAAAATGGCAGAGAATTCCTAGCACTATGGGGAAAAAAAAATCAGCCATCAGCAGGCACATTGAGATAAACAACAACTACATACCATTGAAAACAGATAATCCAAAAGCCAAAAAGGAAACAGAAAGACCAAAAGACTTCCTTGCCAGCAATTAACCCCCAAATGAGCAGAGATTAAATGCCAGAATTAATTCCTCCGTCCCTCTTTCATTTAGCTGCAGTTACAGAAGGGAACTTGAACTGTTCCCGCTGACGTCCTATGTGGCCAGCTTTCTCCAATCCAATCGCCAGGACCAGCCTCCATTGATCAGAGTCAACATGATCGCTGAGACCCTCGCTGCGTTTTTCGCTTCGGCGGATGAATCTGTCACTGTGGACCACATGCCCAAATGGTGCAAGAAGAACTGCGAGGAATGCAAAAAGTATGGATTTGGTGCTGAGGAGCTATGTCAGGTACAGGTTACTTCTCGACTTACAACTGTTTCTTTAGTGACCGCAGTTACAACAGTACTGAAAAGAATAACTTCGGATCATTTTTCACACATGACCTTTGCAGCATCCCCATGGTCACGCAATCAAAATTTGGATGCTTGACAGCTGACTCGTATTTATGACAGTTGCAGGGTCCTAGAGTCACGTGATCCCCTTTTGCAACCTTCTGACAAACAAAACCAATGGGGATACCAGATTCAGGGTGGAGGTTGGTTCTCTGAGCTTGTGGGTTGGTTTCCATATCTTTTGTTACCGGGCTAGGTAACGTCTTCAGTGGAGTTGAAGGGATGTCAGTGTCGCTGTTCTTTTGATAAGGGCTTCAGTGTGTGGGTGTGTCGAGTGAGGGTCTTGTGATGGGTCAGGTGTGAGTCATCAGTGAGAGGCTGGTGATGGGTCTCGCCATGGGGAGGTCAGGATCCTTGGGAGGTGAACTGCCGGTAGTGGGGGATTGCGCGGGATGGTTGAGGGCCAGTGCCGTCCCCGGTTGGCTGTGCGGTTGATTTGGATTCTAAGGGGTGCATAGGCTGGTTGTAGGTTGATGTATCTGTGGATGGAATTGCTGGTGGAGTGACAGGCTTCAATGAACTCATGTGCGTGGCGGGTGGTGGCGTTGGCTGATGATTTGTGTGTTGCTCCAATCAATTGCTCCACCTCCCCATCACAACACTCAAGCCTCTCATTTGATGACTTACACCTGACCCATCACAACCCTCACTCGACACACCCACACCTGAAGCCCTTATCAACAGGAGAACATGGACATCCCCTCCACTCCGCTGAAGATGTTACTTAGCCTGATAATGAAACGTTTGGAAACCAACCCACCCTCATCCTATATCTGAAGATACAGATATTCGCCACTATTGCAACTGTGTGACGAACTTAACAACTGCAGTGATTCACTTAACAACTGTGGCAAGAAAGGTTGTAAAATGGGGCAAAACTCACTTAACAACTGTTTTGCTCAGCAATGGAAATGTGGGGCTCAATTGTGGTCGTAAGTAGAGGACTACCTGTGGATCCAGCCCGTCCTCCTCCTTCAAGGTCTCTGGGCAGCCTGGATGAGAAAGCCTTGGATCTGATCTTGTCCGACAAGATCTACTTACCAGCTTTTGCTTTCTAGATCGTTGTTGAAGAAGCAAAAGAAATATGGAGCGAGATGCAGACGGTGAGCCCAACAGGGGAAATGGCGCTCCGAATGACGCACGACGGTAAGTGGGACATGTGAGGTTTCATTTAGCTCTGCTGCAGAAAGAGGAAGAAAAAAAATAAGAATAAAGGGGCAATTTTCTTCACGGAGGGAAATTCTAGTCCTTAGGCATAATGCCGGCTGGGTGACTTTGGGCCAATCACCAGGAGATTGGTGAGTTCTAGTCCCACCTTAGGAATGAAAGCCAACTAGGTGACTTTGGTCCAATCACCAGGAGATGGTGAATTCTAGTCCCGCCTCAGGAATGAAAGCTGGCTGTGTGACTTGGGAGTAATCACCAGGAGATGGTGAGTTCTAGTGCTGTCTTAAAGCATGAAAGCCAGCTGGTGACTTTGGACCAATCACCAGGAGACATTGAGTTCTAGTCCTGCCTTAGGAATGCAATCCGGCCAATCACCAGTAGACAGTGAGTTCTAGTCCCGCCTTAGGAATGCAATCTGGCTGGGTGACTTTGGGCCAATCACCAGGAGACTGGGAGTTCTAGTCCTTTCTTGGCCAGTTTAAGACTTGTGGACTTCAATTCTCGGGAATTTCCCAGCCAGCATCTTGGGAATTGAAGTCCACACATCTTTAAGTGGCCAAGCTTGGGAAACCCTGTATTCAAAGAAAATATAACACCATGCTTCCTTTTTAAATAGTGGGCTCTGTTTCTGTTGTAACACGGGAGTCCCAGACCGCAAAGCTGTAAATGTTGCCTTATTGTGCACTGATGTTGATTTTAAGCATCGGTCTTACGTCTTTTAGGTTACCTGAAGCTTTGGCAACTCCAGAAGCCTTCGCTTTCCGGCTACGATGTCATCTTGGTGGATGAGGCCCAAGACTGCACCCCCGGTGAGTGAGGTGTAGGTTCTGGGTTCAGTCTTCCAAGTACAGGTAGTCCTCGACTTACGACATTTCGCTTAGTGACTATTTGACATTATGACAGCACTTAAAAAAAGGACACGATCATTTTTCTCACGACCGTTGCAGCATCCCCATGGTCACATGATTAAAACTGGGAGGTTTGGCAACTGATTCATATTTACGACGGTCACAGTATCCCAGGGGGTCA